CATGGTAGTTAATTAGCGCAATTTACCCAGAGCGGAAAGTGACCTTGTCGTGTCATGTGAGCATAACTCAAGCGAGGTCAACGGTAGTTCTCCTGCCTACCCTAAAACCCAAAGTTTGCGTTGCCATAGTGATCAGCACTGCTGGAATGCCAAATGGAGGAATTTAGAACGTACGGCAACTGCAACCTTAAACTCCCCATGTGAAGCAAATAGCGAGAAGTGCAACACAGACGACCAAAAGGGGTAAGCACGAGTGACATTAAAATCGAAAAAAAGGAGGCTCCTACGACTTCGTTTTTATCGATTTTAGATTCTGCATATCTGGAGCGTATCACGAGGTGATACGAGCAGTCAACAGTAGAAACTACAGCAACAAGATTAGCACGCAGACGGTGGAGTTTTCGCAAGGTAAAATTTCCATTTTCATCATGTCATCGAAGACAAGTAGAATTTGTAGAGCTACCTCAATCAGATTTTTTCATTAGCGATGCCATCAAACGCACCGCCATGAGACGTGATCAAATGCCATCACTAGTCTTGGGTGTTTTAACTTCCAGAAGCTCCTGTTTCATCTTCGCCTACACCCTCACACAGGCGTATGGGACAACGCGCTTGTACTACACACACACACACACACACACACACACACACACACACACACACATACACACACACACACACACACATTGAACTGCAATTCGGAAATCTTCATTATCTTCTCATCGTTGGCTTCAACAAAGCCAGAATCAGCTTCTACACGTATTTCGTGAACTTTTTCACCGACTGGGAGACTCCTTCACTGTACTGCAAAATCTCAGTGCTCCTAACGATCGAGTTGAAACAAGATTTGAATCCGACCAAGCAAGGTATCGGCACAAATTGCTGAACCAGCGAATCAAATGTGAAGGAGGTCGACTAGAAGGCCAAAGTAGCCTTCTAAATGGTTGGAAACGGCATCGCCCATATAAACTAAGACACACAACATGCAACTTTGGCCATGAATTCCTTCACGGTAGTAAAACGCACTTAGCGTGACGACTGCTACAATTGAAAGGCATCAATGCGCTGCACATGGTCTACGAGACAATATAAAAACTCCACAAGGGGAGCAATAAATGATGCCATACAAGCTAGAACCGAGGCACAACATGCATTGTTGGTCGAAAACAAACTGACTCCAGTCAAAACACACGCCACGCCAAGGCGCGCCACAGAGGAATGCCTGTGCGACAACAGGGAGGACGCATCGGCATACCTTACTGTGAGGTTTGTGTGGATACTGTTTAGGCACCCAGAAGGCATGTTTGAGACGCTGATTAAGAGGAAGACGGGAGGCAGCCCAAAAGGAGGGATTTCAACTGGGAACAGGCCATCCACGAGGAACATCACGAAGCTGAAGCCGCGTTTTTATCCCAAAATCATTCCAACACAAAACAAGTAACCCCTTGATTAGTATCATCGAGAGCGCGTTGCACAAACACAACGCCCAACTTGCCATTGTTTGAATGCGTCGAATCGAGGCAGTTGGAGTCGCCGAACACACCGAGACGTCCGCTGCGTCGCGAGGCGGACCCGGGCTGCAGGAGGCCGAGGACGCTGAACCGGGGGTCGCTTCCATCAGTGGAAGGGGTCAACCGAAGGGACGAGAACAGCGCTTTCTGCTTCTTATCGAAGGAGCTCGTGGCGTCGTCGGAGAGGCGTCTGGACCGATCAATGATTTGGGCTCCGACGTCAACAAGAGTCGAACGAAGCACCAGGCCGCGTGCGCCTTTGTCTGTGGTCGTCGGAAAGCCGACAATATGCGTGCCGGATGGATAATTGACTAAAAGGAAACATTCTCTTTAACAAAGCGTTGCCAGACATGTGTTTGTCAAATGATTACTGACCTTACACTAAGATGCAACGGCGGAAAAATCACGTGGAAATGCACTTTTGGCCTCACCAAATTCAAACAAACTACCGTGCCACGAAAGGACTAGCTAAAAGCTCGTTTTATAGGTTTTGAAATGGTGGCCATCTACTTGTCATCGGCGTTAAGTTCCGAGCGAGCGGTTAAAATTAGTTTCGAAGGGCAACGGCAAGATAGGCGAAAAAAGAGCAAGACCTTCTCATCGGAGTATATCAAAAAGAGTCTTGAGATGACGAGCATGGAGTTTTGTTAACAGAAATGAATTAATGTCATTCATGAGTTAAGCGAGAAAGGATGAAGTTAGAGCGAAAGAAAGATGGAATCGGGCTCTTCCGGAAGGCGAGTGGCGTGGAAGAAGTCGCTGAAGCCGGATCCAGGGACCACAAAACCACCTTTGAGGCAAGCGGACGTTTTCGTTCAGAGAATGGCCGAAAAATGTGGCGATGCTCGCAACCACGTTTAGATGGACTGTTGGCACGGTGAACCACGAGTTTTTGGGGTTGTTAAATTGATGAAATGGTTCATTTCAACATCAGTGCGCACTGAATAACCCCGTACCGTTCTTGGAGGTCAGAGGCAGTCATATTCCTCACACATTAGTAAAAACATCTCACTGTTTAAAAGCAGCTTCATTCATACCAAGACGACTACGGCAACTGACTGATCGAAACGGTGGTGAGGTCTCTCAAATGTTACCAACACGCCCTGTTCTCCCCAAATGGTCGGACACAAGGCGTTGCCAAGACGTGCTGGAATGATTCCAGAACGATTCCAAAGAGCGCGAGGTGAATGCAGCAACACCGAGTTATGGCACAGAATGCTGAATGTCAGGTGATTGCTTACGAGTGGGAAGATGTACAACGCAGTGCTGCACATCGTCTGGCCACTC